ATAACTGTCACTGGAAAAAATTCTTCTATTAACCAATGATCAATGCAGGTGGCACTATTTTTAGTGACTCTGGTTGGTTCACTCAAGAAAATATCCAAGTAAAAAGATTTCAGAAGCAATTTAGAACTTAAAACTTCTGGTTTCCTATCATTCGAAAATATGTCAATATTGAAATCTCCAACAATTATAGGTGTTCTTTTTGAGAATCGAAGTTCATTGAACAGAGTATCTAGATTTTCCACAAATTTTAGTCGCGTGTGATCAGGTGGTCTGTAGACAACGCAAGTAAAAAAACTCAGTTAAATTGCTGCAAACGGTTATAAATAGATATTTCAAATCTGATTTCAGATCTTGAAGAATGAATTCAATTCTAGTTTTTACAAAAAAAGCTACACCACCACCCCTTTTTTTCCTAACTTTAAAACCCCCTTCCTGATAACCATCCAACTGAAACATTTCCAAGCAATCATTTTCGGTCAATCATGTTTCGCATAAAGCTAAAACTAAAGGTTTTTGCTTGAGTGAATCAACCAAAACACAAAGCTGGTCATGATGTATTCTAAGTGATCTTATGTTAAGGAAAAAAACGCTCTCAGTTCCCCCCAGTATTTGCCTTCATTAAGTTTCCCAAGTCCAACAAAATATAAGGCAAAAAATTAAGTGGTTGAGTTAAGGTTAAGTTAATTTCTATGTTGAAAGTACTTTACTCTTCGTTTACTGTTTCATATGACTGCATAGTACCACCCACGAATCCTTTAATGAAATCCAGTAAGTCATTATCATCATCCATATGCTTGACCAAATCACATATCAGAGTTTGCATTTCTTCGTTATTTGTAGATGCTGGCGATGGTGAAACTTGAAAGCGAAAACGCTTTTTAGCCGGTGTTATATTGTCCTTCAAAACCTTACTATACAAAACTTTCGAATTAGTTTTAGCTGACCTGATGGTGTTGACTTTGCTAGCCGCAGTGTTGCTGAGGCCCTCCAACTCCTCCATAGTATCCACCTTGACAGTTTTGAGTTTTCCTCCGATATCTTAAACTTTCACAAAAAAAGTGTAGAATTACATGTAAAAACTATCATGCCTCTCGATTCAGCTTCAATTTTCAATCTCGAATTATGTTTTGATAACCTTTCGTTAATATATACCGGTTTATTGTTGCACGGATTGACGAAGTTTCGAAGCAAAGGTTTTCGATTCCACAGACTATTCTTTTTGTTAAATCGTATAAATTTCGAAATAATCGGAGGCGGTCTGTTGAAGTCCTGAACAGAATACAAAGGGTGGCAGGCCTTGAGATCGTTTTCTGTAACCGATATATTCAGCACTTTCGAACAAAAGTATTATACGTCTACGATTAAAGTCCCAGTAATTCACAGGGACAAGTTGTTGAATATCACCGAATCTTTGGAGTTATATCTCTCTAGTTCATTCGTTTTAATACTAAGCTGTTGCACACTGGATTGTAGCTGAACAACAGATTTCGCAAGTTCCTTGTTTTCGTCAATCAATAGTTAGAATAATTCTTCAACATTTGGGTCTTAACTCGCTGAATCCAAAATTGTTATCACTCTTTCTGCAGTCATTTCTATTTGACACTTGAAATTCAGACGTAAAGAATTGCTTTCGTTCGCTCGAAAATTCAAGCGATCATTTTCATTGCTCTGAAAGAATTTATTAAGTTTATCACAACAATTAGGCTAACACAATCTTGTTTGAATCAACCATTCCACAATATATCCTTGCTGTATGCAAATTTATCATGGAAATAAAAAAAAAATTTGCAAATGTTTCGTTTAATTAAACTATTTAAGTTGCTGATGTCATTATCTTTCTAGAATGATTAAAATCAACCTTTATTCTAATTTGAATGACTGTTTAAAGATCATGAACGTAGTGAAAATTCTTAAATAGGTCTTGATTATTTTTTTTGTTTTCATTACAAACGTCTCGAAAAAAGTGATCATTTTTTAGTTTCGAAAGTGGAGTTTCTTTTTGCTCCAGCTTTCAAAGACAGTAAAGAATAAACATGATCGTTTTTAATTCAAACCCGTTTTCAAATAAAGTTCTCACTTGAGATCGGTACCTTGATAACCATGTTCTCAGAAAGATTGCGCTCATCATCAGGATCACGAGCCGGATCATCATAATACTAACCTTTTTTTGTGATCGTTCATAAACGAGTCTATCTAAACTGCTCATTTTGTACTTTGATGATGAAAATGTAACACACACTATGTACGCGGGGCGAATTCTCTAGCACCACAAATTCGTATCATATAGAAAGGAGGCAAGTTAATTGTTCTCATTAATTTCATACACAACTCAAATTTTAAACCATTAAAAGAGGATAATATCAGCCCAAAATTTATAGCTTGTCAATGTTCGATTAACCAAAAACTATTCGAGATCAGTTAATTGTCAGTCGGAACATTCAGGGCTTTGCCCTGATACGAGCAGTCTTGTTCAGGTTTCCCATCGGACTGAATTTTTACCTATTGATCCAACTTTCTCAAGTTAGGTAAATTTATCAAAAGTTGTCATGCACTCCAAATCTATCAAAAGTTGTCAATAGTTCAAAAAGCTTTCAGGCTATATTTTTTTCTTTGAAATTCAAAAATTTTTCCAAAAGACTATGTCAGTTTTTTTTTCATTTTTTTAACGTTCATAGAATCTTGTCTAATCCAACTTTGTATTGGTTATGTTTTTAGATTAAAAGAATAATTTTTTTTTAAAAAAAGTTCTATTTTGTTTTTTGAAGCTGTATTAGAATTTTTTGAGCAAAACGCAAAACATAGTATATTATGTTTTGTGGAAATGCTCAAATTTCAAATTGTCTTGGCATTCGAATAGTTATAAATCTACTGGGTTGATGCATTTTTAATTCATCAAGTGAACCGAAGAAAGCTATTTGTTTCAAACAGCGTAACAATCATAAAATCTGGATTTCAGAAATTTATCGTAATTTTTGTAATAGCAACTCGTAATAGCAACTCGTAAACGTTTGAAATGCCCAATTTATACATAATGTGGCTTTTTGATTTGCAATTTTTTACATGCAAATTGTATCTTTTTGTATTTGATGCTACTTTTGCTTCTTCAAATTGGCAATTTAATAGCATATGTAGCTGCGTTATTGGTGGCTAGTTTTTGGGGATTTGAAGCACCCGTGGCTGAATTGCTAGTGCGTGAGACTCAATTTTGCCAAGTCCCAGTTTTTCACTAATTCGAGTTTTTACTAAGTCTCGAGTTTTTGCAAAATCGATGCTTATTTCTACGTTTCCTTATGTCACTTGATAGAATTGCTTTTTGATCCTGTTCTCGCAAGTGTCTGCGAAGCGCAGCTTCGCTTCTGTGTTGAATTTTGTTGGGAGGGATACAGTGACTTTTTCTCGGTGGTCGTGGTAAACCTGACCTTGAAAAAAGTCGAAACTCAAGCACCTCCCTACTTTCGATCCTTGTTATTACAAAAGCGGCTAAAGCATATGGTGTTCGGAAATAAATGCTTGATTACAGCTAAATTTAATAAAAAAAACTTTAAAATCATTTTTAATCATTTTTTTTACTTTGCGCGTGAAATTTTAACATGAGTTTGTAGCTGACTACTAACAGCCAAAAAGTCAGTGTATCCAGTTTCTGTGCAAGAAACTCAAATTATCAAATATTTCGACCACAGTAGAAGAAGCGAATTTTTTATAACACAGAGCCGGATCTAGTCGGATTTTCTCGAGAGGGGGAGATTTCCGAAAGATTTTGAAAATTTTGTCCATTTTTTTTAAATCGACCAAATTAAATTTTCGAGGGCTTCCAGAACATTATGAAGATCCTATTTCAACTAACACCATAAGTGAAGTTTTAAAAAACAGTATAAAAGATAGTTTTTGGGAACTTTTGAAAAAATTTTGACCAATCGGGTTTTTTCTCCGCGTGCTGCTCTTCAAAATTACTATATGTTTGTGCCAAAAGTGCCGGTAGAAAACTTTTAGGGTTAATTGCCGGAAATGGATGTCATAAAATAATTCCAAAAGGGGACCCTTTAGTTGGAGCGGGGGTCAATTTAGTGAGATGTTTGGGGCATCCACCAATTCTCCACCCACTTATCCTAAATTCACCATTGATTACACAGCTAGAATAAAGTTTTCAGATTAAAACCAAAACTAAAACAATTTTTGGGAAATTAAAATGAACCTTGGGCGGGATAAAAACAGCCGAAAAAACAAGGCTGTGCAATATTATGGGGGTGGACGCCCCCTCCCCTCCTAAGTGATTCGAGCTATACCCCCCTGTTGACCCAAAGGGTACCTCTTTGTACCGTTTTGAGATATCCATTTTTTACTGACGCCAATATAAACTATTTTATAGGGGGAATTGCTCCATAAAAAACCTAAAAACGCCTTTGGCCCGCCTGTTTTAAAAAAAAAAATCCAAAAAAGTTTTCACAGAATTTTCCAAAAAAAACCTAAAAATGCCTTCGGTCTGTTTTTTTTTGAAAAAAATTGACCGCGGCGCAAAAAAGTGGGTCGATATAGGATCTGTTTTGTGGTTTGCAAAAGCTCAATAATTTAATTTGGTCAACCTAAAAAAATATCAGCAAAAATTTCATTTCCTGAAAAATCCGCCGCTCCCCCTCGAAAATTTTTTTAGATCAGCCCTTTTTTACTATTGCATTATAGTTGACAAAAAACTTTTATGATAAAAGAAAATCTTTCAAAAATATTTATCTTCAAGATAAATTTAAAAAAAGAAATAGTCAAGAACGAACAAACGCTTTTTGACGGAAACAATGCAGCTGCATGGTATTAAAATCTACTTTTATTTGTCATATTTCTGGTAAGAACCAGCCAATTCTCGAAAAATAGAATCGCATTCAAATTCAAGATTAAAAAACAGTCTGTTTCAGTTATTTTGTGAATATACATGAAAGCTAACGCCGTGTTTATTTTTTGTAACCAAATTTGGTTGATTTGAAAAAACTTGTTTTCAATTAGTACACAACGCTAAGTCAACTAGTGCAATATTAACAAACTCATTTGTAGCAACGGCTAAGAAACTACTTTGAATCAACTATAGTCGTTGTCGTAAAGTTTTTCCGTAAAAATGACCAGTGAATGTCAAAATCACGCGCCGGAGTTTTTAACAAATTCGCGAAAAGTTGTTATATTGCTTTTAAATTTGTTATTGTTTGTTATGATCAGTATAACCCAGACATTCGCACAGCCCTTTCTGCCTTCCGAACTATCTGCCAAAGGGATATCAGCCTCAGTTATTGGGGCTACTTACAGTGCCTTTGGAGTCACTGCTATGTTTTCATTGCTTTACCTTCTCTTTTTCTTCAAAAACTTCGGACAACAAAAACTCTTGTTTAGTATTGGAGGATTGGTCACCGCAATAGCTACAGCATTGATTGGCCAACTTGACAGGTACGTAATATTCAATTCTTCTGAAAACTACTTTTCCGCCTCAAAATGCAGCGTGATTAGAGCCCGTACTTTGGGAAAAACCATGTTTTGACTTAAAACTAATCAATTTTTTCAAATAAGTTTAAAAATCAGCATGCTAGGTTTCCATTTGTCATGAAACTCATTATATCAGAATTTGTAGCAACCAAAAAAAAAATAACACGTGGAATTAAATTATGTCAAGCTGGAGATGTTAGAACTACTCTTAGGGGTGATTACAAAGATGGTACTTATTTTCGTGGATTAGCGTCATCAATTTGCGTCCGAATATAAAGATATCAGAGATAGAATTTCTTTGCAGATTTGGAAGAGGGCGAGCAACTATGAGGTTTTATTAAATGATATACCCAAAATTAGCTCGAAAGTTTTTCTTAAAACTAATTGGCAGCAAGTCTCCGATTGTATCTTTTTTCATGCGCATCGAAATAGTGGAATCTACTTATCATAATTTACAAAGCGACAAGGATCAAAGCATCTTAGTAAAAAAGTGAGCAAATTTAGTTCCCGTAGAAGAAAAATTCTGAACCCTGCAAGGTACCCAATGAAACTCTACGTTGCTACCGAAAACGCAGCTAATAAAGAATAAAGTTTCGGGAGGTCTTAAATCAGAAACCTTATTATCACCGGGTGCCTGAAAAAAGTTGAACGCTGACTAACTCCGAACAAATTTTACGCAGATCAGAAATTTTCAAAATCAGAAAATCAGAAACTTTCAACTCGCCAGACTATCTCAATTCAATTCAGTCGCTACGGACTAGTTTTGCCTAACTTGCGTCAAAAAAGAGTTTGAGCTTTGGAATTAGGCGACAAACTGCATATACCCTGAGCAAATCCCATTTCCACAACGGATGGTGAGCCTGAGCTTTTTTTGTCTCTGATAACTGGGACTCAAAATTTGGCGACGGATAGTTTCACTAGGTCTGTCTCCGTTTCTTTTATGAAACTTCGGCGATGGCCTATGAAGTAGCAATATTTAACTGGGTAACATCAGCGTCAGGGGCCCACATTTAAAACGAGGTTCGAAAAGGACAGTTTATAGTTTACATGCCGTGAATGGAAAGTTATTCAGCATTGTTGGTCTTAATTTTTTGAGATGTTTAGGGAGTCAACGAAAACTTATGGTGGTTAATAACAGTTATTTGATATGATTGCCTCGTTTGATTTAACAATAGTTAGCTCCGATTCGAACTCTGGCTTCTGCAGGCAAAGATATCGCAAATTTCCAACAGACGTTTGCTCTTATCCGGCAAAGTGAAACTTTTTCCGTCCCATCAAAACCCAGCTGACAATAGTGTTCAAACAAAAGCAGCCGCTGAACTGCAAAAACCGCTAATTTGCAAAAGTAATAGACTGGAAAAACCTGGAAACTATAAGAAGATTCAATGCTTGACGAATTGTCGCAAAGCAAACATTTTTCAGATGAAGGAATGATTTTACCGGATTCATTATATAATCTGGTAATTAGGAAGAGGCAACTATCAAATGAGGACAAAATAAAAGCTTTTCAGGTCATGTCAGAGACGCAGACATCTAGCTTTGTAAAGAGTTTTCGACTCGTTGTTCTCATATTTCCAATTACGATGTAACCGATCCTTCCCTTTTCTCGAAGAGAAACTTAGCCTGCGTCCACTATCAGTTTTCCTTGCAGCCAATCTCCTCAACATTACAACGTCAGCCTTCATACTGTTTGATTATGAAAGTTCCAACCCATCGGATGTTCAAACTGATTAATCAGAGATGAACGAAGGCGGCAATAAAGGAAAAACAAACGTGTTTTAGGTTAAGTTGTTTTCCAAATTTTTTCCTTCCTGTTCGATGAGTCATGCTTCCAACTCATCTTGAGCTCTGAGATATCAGACAGCAATTCAATACGAACCGGAATTTTATATGCTAGACCAAGTATTTTAAAACCATTCCGTCGTCCTTTGCCACTTCTTTTCAAGGATTATTCGATCCATAGCATTTCGAGCAAAAAACATCTCTCGGCTTGATCAATTTCCGTTACGAGGTCCCAGACTCATGTCCAGACTTTCGCGACAAAATTTTGGCTTTTCCAGACTTTCCAGACCAAAATTAGGCATGACCAGACTTTTCGACCAAAACTAGGCATTTCCAGACTTTCGCGACCATGATGATCCGTTCCAACTTTTGCGACCGGAGCGGAGGTGGAGCGACCAAAATATCGCGACTCGTATTTGGTATGCCCTACTCTCGCGACCAAGAGTTGCCATTTCCAGACTTTCGCGACCGAAAAACTGAGGCGCGACTTTCCAGACCAAGGCAAAGACGGCGCGACTTTCCAGACCAAGGCGGAGACGGCGCGACTTTCCAGACCAAGGCGGAGACGGCAAGCCTTTCCAGATCAAGACGAAGACGACGCGACTTTCAAAACCAAGGCGGAGACGGCGCGACTTTCCAGAACAAGGCTGTGTCGGCGCGACTTTCCAGACCATCGCGGAGACGGCGCGACCAAAAATCAATTCCTCGCGGGCCAAGGCAGAGACGACGCGATTTTCCAGACCAAGGCGGAAACGATGCCTTTTTCAGACTAAGGCGGAGACGGCGCGACTTTTCAGACCGAGGCGGAGACGGCGCGACTTTTCAGACCAAGGCGGAGACGGCGCGACTTTTTAGACCAAGGCGGAGAAGGCACGACCAAAAATAAATTCTTCGCTGGCCAAGGCCGAGACGACGCGACTTTTCAGACTAAGGCGGAGACGGCGCAATTTTTCAGACCGAGGCGGAAACGGCGCGATTTTCCAGACCACGGCAGAGACGGCGCGACTTTCCACACCAAGGCGGAGACGGTGCGACTCTCCTGACCAAGGCGTATACGGCGCGACTTTTCACCCCAAGGCGGAGACGGTGCGACTCTCCAGACCAAGGCTGAGACGGCGCGAATTTTCAGACCATCACGGAGACTGCACGACCAAAAATCAAATCCTCGCGGGCCAAGGCAGAGACGACGCAATTTTCCAGACCAAGGCGGAAACGACGCGATTTTTCAGACTAAGGCGGAGACGGCGCAATTTTTCAGACCGAGGCAGAGACGGCGCGATTTTTCAGATCAAGGTGGAGACGGTGCGACTTTTCAGACCAAGGCAGAGACGGCGCGACTTTCCAGACCACGGCAAAGACGGCGCGATTTTCCAGACCAAGGCCGAGACGGTGCGACTCTCCTGACCAAGGCGTAGACGGCGCGACTTTTCAGACCATCGCGGAGACGGCACGACCAAAAATCAATTCTTCGCGGGCGAAGGCAAAGACGACGCGACTTTCCAGATCAAGGCGGAGACGACGCGGCTTTTCAGACTAAGGCGGAGATGGCGCAATTTTTCAGACCGAAGAGGAGACGGCGCGACTTTCCAGACCACGGCAGTGACGGCGCGACTCTCCTGACCAAGGCTTAGACGGCGCGACTTTCCAGACCATCGCGGAGACGGCGCGACCAAAAATCAATTCCTCGCGGGCCAAGGCAGAGACGACGCGATGTTCCAGACCAAGGCGGAAACGATGCCTTTTTTCAGACTAAGGCGGAGACGGCGCGACTTTTCAGACCGAGGCGGAGACGGCGCGACTTTTCAGACCAAGGCGGAGACGGCGCGACTTTTTAGACCAAGGCGGAGAAGGCACGACCAAAAATAAATTCGTCGCTGGCCAAGGCCGAGACGACGCGACTTTTCAGACTAAGGCGGAGACGGCGCAATTTTTCAGAGCGAGGCGGAAACGGCGCGATTTTCCAGACCACGGCAGAGACGGCGCGACTTTCCACACCAAGGCGGAGACGGTGCGACTCTCCTGACCAAGGCGTATACGGCGCGACTTTTCACACCAAGGCGGAGACGGTGCGACTCTCCAGACCAAGGCTGAGACGGCGCGAAATTTCAGACCATCGCGGAGACTGCACGACCAAAAATCAATTCCTCGCGGGCCAAGGCAGAGACGACGCAATTTTCCAGACCAAGGCGGAATTGACGCGATTTTTCAGACTAAGGCGGAGACGGCGCAATTTTTCAGACCGAGGCAGAGACGGCGCGATTTTTAAGATCAAGGTGGAGACGGCGCGACTTTTCAGACCAAGGCAGAGACGGCGCGACTTTCCAGACCACGGCAGAGACGGCGCGATTTTCCAGACCAAGGCGGAGACGGTGCGACTCTCCTGACCAAGGCGTAGACGGCGCGACTTTTCAGACCAAGGCGGAGACGATGCGACTCTCCACACCAAGGTGGAGACGGCGCGATTTTTCAGACCATCGCGGAGACGGCACGACCAAAAATCAATTCTTCGCGGGCAAAGGCGGAGACGACGCGACTTTCCAGACCAAGGCGGAGACGACGCGGCTTTTCAGACTAAGGCGGAGATGGCGCAATTTTTCAGACCGAAGAGAAGACGGCGCGACTTTCCAGACCACGGCAGTGACGGCGCGACTCTCCTGACCAAGTCTTAGACGGCGCGACTTTTCACACCAAGGACGATACGGTGCGATTCTCCAGACCAAGGCGGAGACGGCGCGATTTTTCAGACCATCGCGGAGACGGCACGACCAAAAATCAATTCATGGCGGGCCAAGGCGGAGACGACGCAATTTTCCAGACCAAGGCGGAAACGACGCGACTTTTCAGACTAAGGCGGAGACGGCGCAATTTTTCAGACCGAGGCAGAGACGGCGCGATTTTTCAGATCAAGGCGGAGACGGCGCGACTTTTCAGACCAAGGCAGAGACGGCGCGACTTTCCAGACCACGGCAGAGACGGCGCGATTTTCCAGACCAAGGCGGAGACGGTGCGACTCTCCTGACCAAGGCGTAGACGGCGCGACTTTTCAGACCAAGGCGGAGACGATGCGACTCTCCAGACCAAGGTGGAGACGGCGCGATTTTTCAGACCATCGCGGAGACGGCACGACCAAAAATCAATTCTTCGCGGGCGAAGGCGGAGACGACGCAACTTTCCAGACCAAG